CAAAACAGAGATGCCAGATTTACCAAACTGAAACATGGGGAAATATAACAAATAATTTAGGACACATTTCCTAATGAAATAAATATTATTAATAACATTGTTTATCTGGAATTCAGATTTAACTGTGTGTAACTCATATTTCATTTGGGAACCATACAGCAAAGGCTAAAATATTTATTATCAGGCTCTTTACAGAAATTGTTTCTTGGCTTCTGCTATAAAGCATGTTGCCTAGTGTTAAGAAAGATTTCACTGTGTGTGTGTGGGGGGGGTGAAATTCCTTGCTTAAGTAAGGTCTAGGATAACAAGGTCAACAGATTGCTTTTTTTAAACTTAAAGCTCCTCAGAGCCTTTAATATGCTAATATGCAGCATAAATATTAAACATAAGTACAGAATGAAGTGCTTTCCAAAGTCTGTTTGATCACCCATCATTGTTAGTTTTGCTTTAATAGCCTTGTAGAACTAGTGTTCCTTAGAGCACATTTCTTAACATCCAGACTTCAGGCCAGCCCATCAAAGCCCCTTTAACTCATCATAGATCCGAGGCCTCCTAACGGAATGCAATGCAAGCAAGTAACAATGTTTCTATGAAAAAATTATATATGTATGTATACACACACACACGCATATATACACACACACATACAGTTTCACCTTTGACTCCTTCAACTTGGCTAAACTCTCTTCTGTTAGTGATATTTGCATGAAGATCCAGCAGGATGGAAGCTGAAACCAGCGAAGTAGAGGGATTGGATAGAGGGCATCATAATGGGAGTAGGCATGGAAAGGAGACTGCCGGTGGGTTCTATTTTTTTCCCTTTCCTCCACCCCCATCCCTAACTTTCTTGCCTCTTTCCACTTATGACAAATTGGGTCTCACTAGGGGTGGATCGCTAGTAGTGGGATCATTGTGCTGATGGGGTGGTTAGGGCATTTGCTTTGAAAAGATAGGAAGGAGTAGTAATGAGTCACAGCAGGACTTCCTTCCCGTGTAAGAAACAGACATGAATAGACCACATACAGAAATGATGCCTGATGATATTTGAAATGCTAAAGAATCTTTCTCACGGTTGGAATCTTTCTGGGAAGTTGTCAAGGCTTAGCTGTGAGTTTCTAGAAACTGTATGGTATAATTACTTAAGGTCAAGGCTCCAACTAGAACTCATTATTGTTTTTTAAATTTTTTAATAATGTATAAAAGTTTAAAAATAATCCCTTCCTCATTTTTTCAGTGCTCTCTTTTATGATTCTCTTTCACACCAATGGTCTTTTTTTCTTCTTTTCTAAAATAATTAATGGGTTTATGAAAGCCTTCACTAGACTGTCCATACCAGGACAGGAAGGTGAACAAATATATTTTTTAAAAGTTTCTATTAATCTTGTTGCAGAGCTTTGTATTCCTTTAGTCTAGTCTGGAAAATAATGAATGGTAATTAGACTTTTGTAGTTATTTGGATACAAACTATTTTGCTAACTAGTTAAATGATTTGTCTAAGTTTATTAAAGGACTTCCATTTCATTTGTTTCTGATAAAAGGGTAGAGAAATTAGTTAAGGTCAGTTATAATTTGAAAGCTAATGGAAAGAGGCTAGTACTATAAGAATTCAACTGGCTTTTACCATCGAACATTGCACAAAATGGCATTAAAATCACAGATTGTTTATCTGAAAATCTTATTAGCGAACAGGATGACCCAAATTAATTGTAAGGCAGGTTTTTAACTTAGCTTTTTTCTGTTTTCAGTCTGAGTTCCTTTATTTGTTTACATAATATCTAGTGTCTAGCAAAATTATGGGCCAATGGAATATATTCAGATTTCTTGTTTTCCCACTGGCGCCTTACATTAGACCTGAGTGACTTAAAAGAGTCTGGGTGGATGGCTTGGATGCCTCAGTGTAATCAGAGTTCCTAAACAGAATTATGAATCATGTACATTTGCCAAATCTAAGTACAAACTTGTGCCACTGTTGCCTCAGCTGCTTTCTGAAGCAATGTCTAAAAATAGTTGAGTCATATTCAGTATCAGATACTCCAGATTAAACCCTGAATATTTTTAGTACTGCTTATGACTTTTGGAGGTGGGTGACATTCAGATATCTTTTTAAACCCATGACTACTAAAATACATGATTTAAATATTCTGTTTTCCAGGCACTTAGATTAATGTGTACTCAGCCTGTTGTTCCCATTCTGCATACATTTGCAATATTAAAAACACTGGTGATTGTATATTTGCTAACTATGAATGGCCTTTAATTTTGTTTATTTAAATATCCCAGCAAATATAGGTAATTGTGGCAATCTATGTAAAGAAATTCATGTGAAGCAAGCTGGACAAGATTCTTGTGACTGTTATGATTTCTATGAGAAACATGGAAAAGAACTTTGAAAAACACCTGTCAAATCACTTTGAAGAAGTGATGTTACCATCTCTTGCCATACAAAAGGGACATGATCACTTAATCTTGGACATCTTTCAATAATAAAGAAAATGCTGTTGTATTCATAACTGTGCTAAAGAACATTTCTTTTCTGTTCAGTTAAACAATTGTTTATTAAACACCTGTGTGTATGTACTTTGAAAATAGAAAATCAAATAAATTAGTACAGAATGAGCAAAAATAATTTTAAAAGTAGGATTAAAAATAATTCATTCTGATGTATAAGAATTCTTATGAATTTCATAGGAATGATGTAATATGTTTTCTTCATTAGCATTAAAAATGACAACTTTGCCTGATATATTTACATGTCATATTCATTAATTTATTCTGAACGATTATTTATTGTGCATTAGTTCTTAGTAAATAGTTCACCTCTACATGAATATACTTATCAACTATTTTTTAAAGAGTAGATACCCTTCTTATTAATAATGAATTGTGGGGAGACAAAATCATACTTTGCTTGGAATTTGATTTGGGCATTTAGCAATCTGTTTGGTTCGATTAAAAAATTCCTAATGATTGCTGCTGCCTTGTAATTATTTTTTAAATTTATTTATTTATTTGAAAGTCAGAGTTACACAGAGAGAGGAGGCAGACAGCGAGAGAGGTCTTTCATTTGCTGGTTCACTCTCCAACTGGCCACAACAGCCGGAGCTGTGCTGATCCAAAGCCAGGAGCCAGGAGCTTCTTCTGGGTCTCCCACGTGGGTACAGGGGCCCAAGCACTTGGGACATCTTCTACTGCTTTCCCAGGCCATAGCCGAGAGCTGGATGGGAAGTGGAGCAGCGAGATCTCAAACCGGCACCCATATGGGATGCCTGAGCTTCAGGCCAGGGTGTTAACCCACTGTGCCACAGTGCTAGCCCTGCCTTGTAATTATTTTTAAGGGAAACAAAAGCAGACTGAAACCATGAAATTCTTAATTATCTTTCGTATATTCTTGGTAATCCTATATTCATATGTGGAAAATTTTCTTCAACTGGAATTAGTCATGTTTTAATCTAATCACAATAAATTTCAATTCCAAGATGAATATTACTAATTCTGAATTTGACAATATAAATATTTCCCATTAAGCTTACCAGTTTTCTTGCATTTTTTTTTTCACCTGATAGTGAGAGAGAGACAGAGAAAGGTCTTCCTTCCATTGGTTCACTCCCCAGTTGGTTGGTTCACTCCCCAATTGGCCGCCATGGCCGGAACTCCATCGATCTGAAGCGGGAGCAGGGGCCCAAGCACTTGGGCCATCTTCCACTGCCTTCCCGGACCACAGCAGAGAGCTGGACTGGAAGAGGAGGAACTGGGACTTGAACCTGGCACCCATATGGGATGCTGGCGCCGCAGGTGGAGGATTAACCAAGTGAGCCACGGCGCCGGCCTCCTGCATTTTTAATGGTTCAATTTTATCAGTGTTTTTATTTCCAGAGAATTCCTTGTTAAGTTTTACATTTTTGGGGTAACTTTATGAAGAGAACTTAAAGAGCCTTGATGACATAAATAACTTCTTGGGAATGTGTCCAGAATCTAGTTTTATCTGAGGCAAGAGATGTAGTTCAAATGTGTATCTTAATGAGCTATAGGTAATTTACCTTTTACCTTGCATTTTAATAGGACAATCTAAAAAAGTTGCGAGAATAATTTTTTTAACATATTAAACATAGTTCCTTAGGAAATAGGTTTAGAAACAAATCATCAAACTCAGCTCCAGAAAATTTCCAGAGTAGAGTTAGGTTTTGTTAGACAATAAAATCATAAATTTCTTTGTTCTCTTGTTGCTGTGTTCAATCTGTGGAAGAGCTAACCACCCGTGGCTTGACTAAGTTAAATTTCAAAGACTCCTGTGGAGCTCATGGAGACTGTGGAAAATACAAAATAGTCTGTAGGTATTATTATATAGAGAGCAGATGAAGCTAGCAAGTATAGTTGAAGTTGGTAACCTAAAGAACTTCTTGAGATAAATTTTGTCAACAGAACTTAACAGTTCTGGCCATGTTTCAGGAAAACCATTTACTTCACAAAGGGTGTTTGGCAGAGGGAAGCAATGACATTTTTCAGGGAGATAGAGCAACAGCAGCAGCATCTGGAGGTACAGAAACTTCCCAGTTGGCAGAATGCTTATCATGGGCATAAAAACTACTGTGATTAGGGTTAGCATTTGTATTGATTAGTAAGTGCTTTCCCCTCTTACACTTGATTTAGGATATGTTGTCGTCTAATGTTTCTTACAAGTGGAGACTCAAGACCTTGAACAAGCCAAAGCAGTTATTTTCCTAGATTTTTAAGCAGGGTAACAACTCAGAGAACTCAGTCCTTCATACATCTGATGACTCCAACTTGGCTTATTGTTTATGGAGAAACAGTGGTCTCTCAGTGGTGGTTTTATAAAGATTTTTCTTCATCTTACATCAGGTTTTAACTATGTAATTTATTAAAATTAGGGGGCCTGAGATATGCACATACATATTTACCAGATAATGACATATCATTGCTTAGTCATATGTATTTAAATTCAGCAAGAAGGTACAGGTTTCAATTATTCAGGCACAAATGTCTGGAAGATTTAGTACACCAACCATTTATTAAGTTTGTCCATAAGGATGTCTTCTACACGACTGGTACACTAAATATAAGACACAAATTTTACAAATAATCTGTAGGGTTTAAGTATATTCAGAATGCCTTTTGACTTAAAATAAGTAAATTTTGATATCAGGACAATGAAATACAGTCATTCTCCAATGTAAATATATTTTTCAACACATTTGGACAAATTCACAGAAACATTTGACATTAAAATCATATATTTTGACTGTAACTAAGTGTGATCTTATAGTTTAGTTAACCACCTGGTAACTTTTGTAGGCAAAATATGTTTTCAATGTTTCAAGAATCATTGTCTAATCAGTTTTTTTTCTTTCATAAAGGCATATTTAAGCCTGTAAAATAATGTGTCCACATTGTTGGTAATATGAACACTCTCAAATAGTAAAATGAAGTACTATTAGTTAATAGTTTGGTTTCTCATGAATATATGAAGCCTAACAAAAATTCCTTTCTATATTTTTTCATATTAAGGCACAATATATACATAGATTGATGGAGTCAAATGACAGGTTTAAAATTCTATGAAGAATTATTAGTTAATACTAACTATTAAGAAAATGGTAAAAGTCAATGTATATTAGAATGGTAATTGAATAAATCTAATTTATATTTTAGATGAAAAGTGAATCACTTTTCCGTTGTATTCATTTGTGAGAGTGTATGAGTTTTTCTTCATATTTTATTGATAAATATATAATTTCCTCCTTCATTACAAATACAGAGGGTAATAATTATTTATATGTAGCTTAAATTTAGTGATATTCTTTGAAGTATTTTAAACACAAATAATTTCTAATTATTAATATATTTTTGAAAATGAGTTTTATGCTGCTAATTTTTAGTGGAGATTTTAGTATACATGTGCCAATCAATAATCTTCAAGTATGAAATATTTGACTTATTAGGTATCAGTGAGTGTTAAAAAAGTGCTTCTCAGGTGCACTTTATATTATTCACTACATCAATACATTGAAAACATTTTCTTCTAGATTTTTTTTTATAAAATGGAACTTAAGCCTAAAATTATTTTTGAGGAGCTAGAAGTGTCCAATGTGCTAAATATGTATGACATATATATATATATACATATATATATATACACAAAATATATATGGTCTTAAGAAGCTTGTTTGACAAGGTTTTAAAAATATTTAAATACAATAAATTTTAAGAAAAGCTTTTTTTTGTAAAATTATTCTAAGTACATGAGTTTACTCTTTAGCAAAAAAAAAAAAAATCTAACATAAAACCTGCAAAATAACTTGAGTATCAAAGTACCATCTTTGTGGTATGAATTGATTTCACAAGTTTCAGAGTCAAAATTCTACTCAAACTCTAACATTGATAGGCTTTTCAGAGCTTTATACTCATAAAAATATTTTAAAGTTTAAATTTATATAATGTGTCTAAAATTTCAGTTATCTTTTACTTATAGAAATTTATTTTAAATTAATTTTTGCCATATAAATTGTCAGATAAAGTGTAAGTGGACCAATGGACCAGTCTATTATTATAAATATTAAATGCATTAATCAAAACTAATATCCATACACAGTATTTTTAAGTCAGTTATAATCTGATGCACATTCTCACATGTTCAACGGCATTTTATGCTTTCACCTCCTATTTTTTTACTGTTTATATAATCATAATTGGATAGTTAAATTTCAAATAAACTTGGTAATATTTTCTCTTTATAAATTTAGCAGTGTTTTTGCTGTGTATCCATTTACTGATATGTAATAAACATTGAAAACTTCTGTAAAGTATGGCTAAACTGAGTGACTTTTTATATATTTTGTAAAGGACAAACATAGGTGTTAACTTGAAGATCAACTGTGTACACCTCACATTTTGCTATATATATATATATTTTTTTTGTTTTGTTTTTTTGACAGGCAGAGTTAGACAGTGAGAGAAAGAGACAGAGAGAAAGGTCTTCCTTTTTCTGTTGGTTCACCCCCCAAGTGGCTGCTATGGCAGGTGTGCTGCGCCGATCCGATCTGATCCGACCTGAAGCCAGGAGCCAGGTGCTTCCTCCTGGTCTCCCATGCGGGTGCAGGGCCCAAGGACCTGGGCCATCCTCCACTGCACTCCCAGGCCACAGCAGAGAGCTGGACTGGAAGAGGAGCAACTGGGACAGAACCAGCGCCCCAACCGGGACTAGAACGTGGGTGCTGGCGCTGCAGGCAGAGGATTAGCCTAGTGAGCTGCAGTGCCAGCCACATTTTGCTATTTTAATAATTCAATCTTCAAATATTCATTAAATACTTGCTATGTCAAGCACTTTCCTAGGTATTGTACTCTTATATGTTCCAACAATATAATATTTTGATACTTTTTATGTCTTATGAAACTTTTGCATTTTAGATTATTCTTGCCTTCTTCCCAAATGTGGCTATTATATTTTATAAAGGAGACACCTCCTTTTCCTTTATGTTTTGTAAATATTTTATTTTTCAGAGTTAATGAATAAATTTCACTGTTCCTCTCCACCTCTTCAAGCCCCAATCCTCTTTTCAACTTCTGGCTCCTGAACAATCAAAATTAAGGTATTACTAATCCACAAGTGCTGTTTTAAAAAACAAGTCAGCTTGGAGAAAAATCTCTATCAAAATGGGTTGAGTCGTATTCCAGTCCCTAAAGGTGAGAATGGATTCACCTTTGCCCACATCAAAGCATCATTCAAAGAGATAGTAGACTTCCCATCTTCAAGGAAAAATACAGGACCCTGCACATGGTGAAAAAACAAAGAAAGAGAAAGTGAGATTATAAATTTGCAACATATCTGTAAACTTTCAGAAACACAACCACTGAAATAAAAAAATATTTAGGCCACACTAGTGGGAAATTTAATAATATGAGAAAAATTAGTTTTTGAACTGTCATCAAATATAGAGATACTTTCAAATATCTTAACATTATGTCATGGTATTTCCTGATGTCTGTCAAAATAAGATTTAGTTTCATAATTTGAATTCTTTTTTATTGTGCTTTTTAATTTTAATTTTAATTTTAATTAATTTTAACAGGCTCAGTATGCTTTGTAGGTACAATTTTAAGAACACAATGATATTCCCCTCTTCCCTCCCTCCCTCCTACCCTTATTCCTTTTACTCTCCCCCTTTTTTTTTCAGTTTTGGAGATAACATATTTCAAATTTACATTATAGTAAAAAAAAAGCTTAATACTTCACTGAATAAGAGGTTTAGCAAGTAAAAAGCAAAAGGACTCTAATTTAGTGGGAATATAGACAATGGCTATAAACAATAATTGAATGTATAAATGACCATTTCACCCATATACAGTTATTTGGTCAATTAGTCATTCATAATTTCTTTCAGTGAAATACAACCAATGACAATATAACATCTAAATAGTTCATTTAGACTTTCTGCCAATAACAGTAGGTATTTTTAACAAATTGATTCCCACAAAACTAACTTATTTTATGAAAACACCTTCTCTTAATAATACATTTAAATGCGTTTCCCTATTTTAAGCATGTAGCCTGTGTCAACACAGCTGCAGAAATTATTTATGCCACAAACTCTGAACCTGCTTTCCAGAAGATGACTATACTGCTTTATGTATATGTATATAATTAGAATTATGTTTCACTATGTGATTTACCAACATATTAATAATTTAGTTGCATTGGCTACTATGCATAGCAAGGGTACTTATAAAGTACCAAATATACTTATAGATAAAAATACTTTTAATCTATATTACTCAACTCTTAGAAGAAAAAAATATGCAACACATTCTATTTTCTTAATGTGGTTCTAAAGCTATCAAGTTTTTTGTCATGGTCTTAAATGATACACCTTGTTGTTAGTATGGTATTTTTAGATATTTGAAAGCTCATCATAGAAACAGATAAACTTCCCATTAGTAGGTATTTGACATTTGATAATTATACTCTAAATGCATTAATTTTCTGTTGAATTTGAAATCTGGAAAGGTAGCACTCAATCTCCATTAATCATGTGCACTTTTCCGCAGATCCTGAATGTAGATTTGGGTACGGAGGGGTTAGATCATATCTAAGAGGTTGGCTATTTCAGACAGAAAAAAGAAACTTTAGGAGAAGAAAAGAAGTAACATAAATGTATTGAGCAGTAAAAATTATACATAATGGGTAGGCAATGTTAGTGACGACATTCTCTGAAAACTTCATATTTTTTCTCTAATTATAACAATGAATTTCTTGCTTTTAATTGGTTACTTTTGCATGTAGGTGGATAATAAAAGTGTTTACAACTATATGCCCTATTTTTCTGAACAGATTGGTACATGCTGAACACTTACTAGCTTGCAGTGGCAGGTTAAGCTTTGGTTATCATCTTCATTAATATCAGTGATTTCATTAATTCTGATTGTGCTAAAAATACTTTCTTCATTAGCCTAGTGTGTCAGCATGAGAAATGTAATTTCCTGACTACATTAGAAATATATTCAATAAAATATGTATATTACTAAGAGGTGGAGCTCTTTTAGTACAATTTTGAGTCTAAATTAGCATTCTAAAGGGACTCAGCTTAAATGTTTGCTTCATGAGAATGTGGTGAGAAATTCTCTATTCAAGATAATAACACTCTTGGGTCACACTGGGAAGCTCTGGCATGGTTCATCATCATTAACTTGATTGTACATTATGGACTATTCCTTGGGAATTGCCATTTGCCATGATTAATTTGAATAATTTTTAAATACTGAAAAGTACAGTGACAATATAATAACATGCCTAGTATATCAATAATATATATCTGTCCGTATTTAACTGCCTTATGTTTGTACAACACAAATAGAGACAAGAAAGTTAATTTTTAGAATTATGATTTAATCTCTCATAACTGTATTGACTGTTTGTCAGTCAATTTTGTCTTCTTTATTTTATTTCCCTCAGGACTTGACCTATGTGGATTTCAAAACATTTGTTACTAAGTATATAATCTTTGGTTACTATGTATATGTGTTACATAAATTGTTCCTGTCATAATACATTAACTGTCTTTTTGAATTTATTCTAAGGAGCAAAGAAACCGTTTATACCAACTATGGAAGCACTAAGGCAATGTTTTCTTACTGAGCCACAGACATCTTCATAGTCACCAATTCTTATTCAAATTATGCTGATTTTAAGATAACATTTCCAAAACTAAAAACACATAAAATGCAAATTTATGTCTGAGAAACTGTACCTGGATTTTTAATCCTGTAAAACATGAGATGTGAATGTCGGAATGACTTGGGAGATTTGATCCAGTCACATAGTCTGGTCCAATAATTCCTGTGAATGGCTCTTCTTTTAGTCTCTTTAATAAAGTTGCATAAATCATTCTTTGTGAATCAGAAGGGGGTGTATATGTGAATTCTTCTGACGATCTGTATTTTCAACAAATGTTAAATTTTCATTGTTTCAGAATCATACAATAATAGATTTAGATTAGAACAGTCTCTGATGACTACTGGGTCTCCACTATGGAAGGAGGCAAATCAATTTAAAAAGGTAGAGAAGAATAGCATGGCAAATTTTTCTTGATTATATGCTGAATGAATTAGGAGTCATTGTGCTGCTAAGTTTAGTAATGAATTCATGCACATTTCCAATGTTTTCCTTTTCTGTAACCTTGCTTTCCTTATTCCAGTTTTACACTATGTTTACCCACCGGTTGGTAGATTGTGTGCAAGCTCTCCATGCATCCAGTTCCTCAGAAAGACGCTCAAGTTTTAAGGGTACTGAAACCTTCCGACGTTTTAGTAGCTGACTGAAACATTAAAAATAAATTAGCCAATTTGACATAAAAACCCAGGATATCAGAAAAAGCAAAAATGTTTAAAATAACTGCAATTTTAGATTAAATATTGCTAAGAATATGTGTGTATGAGGGTACTCTAAATGTTCAAGGAAAATGGAATTAAGTGATAAGATTTTTGGTATAAACAATTTTAAATCCATTCATATTATAATACACACATACACACACTTGTATATTTAGCATTTTAAGTCTTTTTGAAGCCAAAGGTATTCCATAAGTATTGGTTGGATGAGTGATTGAATGAGTTGTTGGATGAATAAATGAACTGTATAATGTACGGAGAACAGTTAGACAAGGCTAGCAATGCTGAGTAATAGCCACAGTGAGAACACTTAATCATAACCCTGATCATTTAATTCTGGTAGACAGATTAATGACATGATTAACAGAGAGAAATAGGAGAAGAAGTAGAATAGAGAAGGAAGAGGATTTTAATTCTGAGCACCCTATGGTTAAGGCTGGAAATCAGCAAACTGCTAGCAACATACAAAGGGCTTTGACGAGGAGGAGGCTATCAGATTATACAATAGTGAATTATCTCCATAGAGATGACAATGGAAGCTGAAAAGTGATGAGGATTCTGAAGGACAGAGTGTAGAGAGGCAGGATGTGAAAGGAGTGCAGACCAGAGAGGAGAGTGAGATGGGGAGCAGGAGAAAGGGAAGGAGAGAATGGAATGAAAGAAAAACATTGGGTCATCATATTCCATTGGGTTAGGGAAAGAAATACAGGTAGAAAGACAAGACAACAAAGATGGAATTATCATAAAAGTTCTTTAAAATCAGGGAATTCTTAAATTTCTCTTTTGAAACAAACATGTTTCTCAAATTCATGTCTCACCTCACAAATGAAAACCCTTTTTGTTATTCTTTTTTTCTAAAGAAAAGATTGTTTTATTCAAAGGCATAGTTACAGGATGGGGGAAGAGAGGGAGAAGGGGAGGGAGAGGGGGAGGTACAGAAAAGAGAATCTTCCATTTGCTGGTTCACTTCTCAAACGGCCACAATGGCTACGATTGTGCGAGGCCAAAGTCAAGTCAGGAGGAGCCTGGAACTCCATACGGGTCTCCCACAGGAGCAGCAGGGTCCCTAGTACTTGAGTCATCTTCTACTGCCTTTGCAGAAGCATTATCAGGGAGCCGGAACAGAGATGGAGTAGCTGGGACTGCAATTGCTGTTCATGTGGAATGCCACTGTTGCAAGCAGTGGCTTAATCTGCTGCACCACCACACTGGTCCTCCTCGTTTTTATTCTTGATATAAATTTGAGCAACCATTTTCTTTCTTATCTTCATCATTACTGAAATTTTACATATATATATATAATACAACATATTTAATTAAGCATTATTTCAATTCTATGTTATGTAGCCTATTATTCCACTAGTATGTTTTGATATTGTTAAAAGTAGCTTTCAGAACTTCTAAGATCAATCTTATTCACAATAGCAACAAAAATTAAATACCTTGGAATAAATTTAACCAAGGACATCAAAGATCTCTACGATCAGAAATCAAAGCATTGCTGGCAAAAAAAAAAAAAAAAAAAAAGTGACCTAAATGAAAGATCTCTGTGAGTGAGATCCCAGCGGAAAGAATGGGCCATCAAAGAAGGAGGTGCCTTTCTCTGAAGGGAGGATAGAACATCCACTTTGACTAGGGCCTTGTCTAAATAAGATCGGAGTTGGTGAACTCAAGAGGCTTCCATAGCCTTGGCAGCTCATGACAAAATCCTAGGGAGATTACTCATGCCATAAACAAGAGTGTCAATTGTTAAATCAACAACAGGAGTCGCTGTGCACTTACTCCCCATGTAGGATCTCTGTCCTTAATGTGTTGTACTATGTGAATCAATGGTATAACTAGTACTCAAACTACTTCACACTTTGTGTTTCAGTGTGGGTGGGTGCAAACTGTTGAAATATTTACTTAGTATATACTAAACTGATCTTCTGTATATAAAGATAATTGAAAATGAATCTTCATGTGAATGGGACAGGAGAGGGAGCGGGAGATGGGATGGATGCAGGTGGGAGAGAAGTTATGGGGGGAAAAAGCCACTATAATCTAAAAGTTGTACTTTGGAAATTTATATTTATTAACTAAAAGTTAAAAAAAGAAAAAAAAGAAGTAAAAGCATTAAAGAAAGAAATAGAAGAAAATGCCAAAAAAAAAAAGGAAAAATCTTCCATGTTTATGAATTGGAAGAATTAATACTATCAAAATGTCTATACTACCAAAAACAATTTACAGATTCAATGCAATACCAATCAAAATACCAAGGATATTCTTCTCATAAACAGAAAAAATGATGCTGAAAGTCATATGGAAACACAGCAGATGAATAGCTAAAGCAATCTTATACAACCAAAATAAAGCTGGAGGCATCACAATACGAGATTTCAAGGAATACTACATTTCTAAATACTACATTTACAAGGCAGTTATAATCAAAACAACCTGGTATTGGCAAAAAAACAGTCTTGTAGATGAATAGAACAGATAATAAACTCCAGAAATCAACCCATGCATCTACAACCTATTTATCTTTGACAAAGGAGCTAAAATCCATCCCTGGAGCAAGGAGGTCTCTTCAACAAATAGTACAACAAAAACTGGATCTCCATATGCAGAAGCATGAAGCAAGACCCTGACTTTACAGCTTACACAAAAATCCACTCAAAATGGATCAAAGACCTTAATCTACAACCTGATTCCATCAAATTGTTAGAAAACATTGGGGAAATCCTGAAAGACACTGACATAGGCAAAGAGTTCTTAGATAAGATCCCAGAGATACAGGCAATCAAAGCTCAAATTGACAAATGGAATTACATCAAATTGGGAAGCTTCTGCACTGTAAAAGAAACACTCAGTAAAATGAAGATGCAACACACACAATGGGAGAAATTACTTGTAAACTATACAACTGATAAAGGATTGATATCCAATATCTATAAAGAGCTCAAGAAACTAAACAACAGTAAAACAAACAATCCAGTTAAGAAATGGGCAAAGTGTTTAAACAAACATTTTTCAAAAGAGGAAATCCAAATGGCCTACAGACACATGAAAAATGCCCAGGATTACTAGCCATCAGGGAAAAGCAAATCAAAACCACAGTGGGGCTTCATCTCACCCCTTTTAGAATGGTTTTCATATAGAAATCAACATACAACAAATAGTGGCAAGGATGTGGGGGAAAAGGTACACTGTTGATGGGAATGTAACCTGGTATAGCCACTGTGGAAGATACGGAAATACCTCAGAAATCTGAATATAGACCTACCATATGACCCAGCCATCCCACTCCTGGGAATTTACCCAAAGGAAATGAAATCAGCATATGAAAGAGTTATCTGTACCCTCCATATTTATTGCAGCTCAATTCACAATAGCAAAGATATGGAATCAACCCAAATGTCTGTCAACTGAAAACTGGATAAAGAAATTATGGGATATATACTCTATGGAATACTACACAGCAGTTAAAAAAAGAAATCTTGTCTTTTGCAACAAAATGAGTGAAACTGGAAAACATTATGCTTAGTGAAATAAGCCAGTCCCAAAACAATAAATACCATATGTTCTTCTTGATCTGTTGTAACTAATAGAGCACCTAAAAGATAATCTGTAGAAGTGAAATTGACACTTTGAAATGTGATGACTTTGAACAGACCTTGTCTCTACTGTTGAAGAACAGTCTTTTTTTTCATACTATTTGTTGAACTCTTCACTTAGTATAGAGTTAAACTTATGTGTATAAAAGTAATTGAAAACAGATCTTAGTAAAAATAAGAAGAACAGGAGAGGGAGGGGGAGTAAGGGTGGGAGTGAAGGTGGGAGGGTGGGTAGAGTGGGAAGAATCATTATGTTCCTAAACTTGTACTTGTGAAATGCATGAAGTTTGTATACCTTAAATAAAAGGTTTCTGGTGGTAAAATAAAGTTGCTTTCAACATTTGGCTATGCAGTCTGTGTAGAAATAGTTTTCTTTGTCATCATAGTTTTAAGTCTCAAATCCTTAATTAGAACTAGATGACAGACCCTGCTTTAATGACACAATTGGGAGAAATTAGGGATATTAAAGGCTTTAATTTCTTTCAGAATTCTCTCAGTCATCTGAAGGGCACTTATGAAAAACTGCTTACTCATCTGTAAGACTCTTGATATTGTTGAGTTAAAACATTCACTTACTATGCCATTTAGCAAAATGGTAGATTTGGCAATGGTTTTTTATGGGAAACACTGTGAATTTTTTTTCAAGTTTTAAGCATAATGATTGGAGGTCAACAAGCTATTATAAAACATAGGAGTGTTTGGTAGGTTATAGTTGAATATAAAATAAATATTTGCTGCACAAATGCCCCCTTTACCTTGTCTTTTTTTATTCGGGAGTTTGGAAAGCTCAGATAACCAAGTTTCATTTTTTTAAAAAAGTACTGTTGCACAATCTGGTCAATAAGATGTAGGCATACAACCCTCAGGAGGAGTTTCTTTTCTAGGTAAGATGGTTTTACCATGAGAAAGTCCTTTGTCATCTGTTTCACCCTTACCTCTCTTTCCTGTTCAGAATGTGGAAAAAACACGTTCTTGTAATCATAGGAAATTCAAGCAGGAGGAAAGAAGCCAAGAGTGTCAGAGTGGAAAGAAGGAAGGACTCTAGGCACTTGATGGAATCAGTGGAGATGTAACAGCCAAGAAATGCTTCGTTCAAGTGTCCTGACATGTAAGACCAATCAATCCTATGTGTTTAAGCAATTAGCATTGCTATTTGCAGCCATACAGTTATTCTGTATTATTCATACAGTTAATTGCTGATTTAATATAAAGCACACAGTGAATAAGTGTAAAGATGCACATAATAATACATTTGGTGGCTTTCATGATCATCTTTGTGAAATGATTTTAACGTCATGGAAGGAGAAAAATTATTTTTACCTTGTATACTCATAAAGTGCTGGAACAATGCTTTGGTACTGTTTTTGGATAGCCAATAATGCACCAATATAGCCACATAAGATGAGCAACTCATTTCTAGCTCTAAAAGAGAAGATATATATATGTATATATTTATATACATATTTTTTAAATTCCACAATTAGAGGCAAAAAACACTACTTTCTCACATAGTTCATATACTGATATCTCTATATTATTATGGCAGCATTTACATGCAAAGATACTTTGAAAGTATTGTGAATTTGAAGATAACTTATTCATCAGCTAATAATTCCTATTCAGACATTTATCCTATATCATAAATTGTAATATATGACAAAAATATTTAAGTTGTACTTAACTCTTGCTTGCTTGTTTTTCTCTATTCCCTGGCTGCTTCTTCATGTGATTTATCTCTAAGTACCTCCTTTGGTGAGATTTAGGAATTCCTGACAGATTGTGGAGACTGTAGGAAAGGGCAAAGGCTATCTCCCGCATTTTCTGCTCGGGGCGTTTGCTTATTTCCCAGGCTGTTGCATCATTTTTCCATGCAGGTATTAAAACAAAGAGGTGAATGCCTCTTTTGCAAGTTATACACGAGTTTTTAATGGCTTCAATTATATAGATAATAATGTCTTTAAATGGTTCTTGAATTCAAGGATGATGCCTATTTTCTACTTCCATGCATTTTTACTTCTTTACCCCAAGTTTAGTATGATGCCTTACTCACAATGGATATTTAATAAATATAACCATTAGTTTCTTGAGGACTTGAAGTTCAAAACCATCTGAAACATTTAACTAGCTTTCTTTGATCCAAGTGTGTATGTGTGTACAGATACACATATATATGAACATACACGTATTACATACCAGTATTTTTTTTAAAGATTTATTTATTTTACTTGAAAGAGTAGAGAAAGAGGAGAGGCAGAGAGAGAGAGAGAGAGAGAGAGGTCTTCCATCCGCTGGTTCACTCCCCAATTGGTCGCAACTGCCAGAGCTGTGAAGCCAGGAGCTTCTTCCGGGTCTCCCACATGGGTGCAGGGGCCCAAGGACTTGGGCCATCTTGTACTGCTTTCCCAGGCCACAGCAGAGAGCTGGACAGGAAGTAGAGCAGCTGGGACTTGAAGCAGGACCCATATGGGATGCCAGCGCTTCAGGCAAGGGTGTTAACCCGCTGCACAGCAGCGCTGGCCCTATCAGTAAGTATTGCCACCATCATTTAATATTTGTTTCAGATTGACCTCTGTATATTTTTAAAGATTTATTTATTTATGTTGAAAATTAGATTTACAGAGAAGGAGAGACAGAGGAAGAGGGAAGGAGAGAGAGAGAGGGGGTGGGAGAGAAAGAGAATCTTTTGAGCCCTGTTTCACTCCCAAGATGGCCACAACAGCCACAGCTTGGCGACGTGGGAGCTGGAAGCCAGGAGCCAGGAGCCTCCTCCAGATATCCCACGTGCATGGCAGGGGCCCAGACATTTGGGCCATCTTTTGCTGCTTTTCCCAGGCCATTAGCTGGGAGCTTGATTGGAAGTGGAGCAGCCGGGGCTCAAATAAGTGCCTATATGGGAAGCCAGCATTGGAGGTGGCAGCTTTACCTGCTATGACACAACACCTGCCCCATCCTCTGTATTTTTTTAAAGAATTTTTCTACATGTGCAGTAGGTATCATTCCAAGATGATTCTATTTCTTCATTTGTACTTCAGAAAAACAAAATCATTTTAAAACACACAGATTTACATTTGTAATTTGGAGAGAAAGTACTCACTCAGTACATGTATGCAAGACTAATTTTTCAGTACGAATATAACTTAAGAGGTCAAGAACAGGGTAAATGGTATCCAAAGTCCAATCTGAACTACTGATGTATTCTGGTAAAATAAAATCAAAGGATACATTCTTTAAAGAATATATTTAAAATTTGTTCATCCAATATATAATTTACATAATAAAATCTTCGCTAATTAGTCTACCTACTGTTTTATTTTCTAGATCACGAGTATTTTTCCTATTCACCCTTTCTCAGGTTCCCATACAATAAAATCAGAAGGGGTATCAAATTTTGTATCAATAATCTCTCCTTTTAAAATTTAGGATCATTAGTGCTTTATTTAAGGCTGAATATCACTATAAATGAGGAGATCAAATAAATAAGTAGATTTTAAATTATATTATCACCCAGAAACTTACCTTTGATGAAATCAATGCCAATAGGAAGGGCTTTCTCAGGTTCTTGACTTAGCAAGTAATACTTGACAGTTTCAAATATATTACCATCTGTGTGGGCTGTCTCAGCTAATTGCATACATTCTTCTACTGTGGGTAGCTTGCACTAGAAAACAATTGATATGAAGACAGTGTCACTAAAATAAAAGTAACTGTAAATATATTTACAATATACTCAGTATAGTTTTCTCACTAAAGTTGGCCACAACAGATGTAAATTATAGAATACATGCATCGGAATTTCCTTACTTTCTAAAAGTGGTGTCATTAGCTATTAAGTCAGTAGTTTTTCAATACATAAATATCTAATGAAAGTGGTGGAATCAAATTATTCTGATTGTAATTTTGGAATTAGCATCCACAAATAAAATAGGGCAAAAAAATTTTGGGATATGTTGTTTTAGGCAAATATCTTGATTGTTGTCAAAAACTACATTAAATGTAGCAAACTAAAAGAAGATACATTATTAAATGTCCTCTACTTTATAATTTAATTTTACTTGGATTTTTGGGAAAATGTAAATTTATTTCAGAGGCCAAAAATGCAGCAGTTGTAAAAGATGTTGCACTTAACATTTTGAAATATTACAAAGTGGAAACTTTTAGTACATGAAATTTTATCAACATAAAACAAAAAGCAACACTCCCCAATTTTCCTTATAGTATTTTTGCTTAAAACTGAGAGTATGGATATCTTTTATATTATATTCTGGTACATTTGTAACTTGTTTCTTTTTAATATTTAATTATTTTTAAGTTTTTATTTGAAAGGCTGAGAGACGAGAGAGAGATATCTTTCATCTACCACTTCACACTTCAAATGCCTGCAACATCCAAGAGGTGAGTCAGGATCCCAGAACTCAACCTGAGTTTCCCAGGTGGGTAGCGGGGACACCTGTCGTTGAGCCATAATCTGCTGCCTCCTGGAGTATGCACTAGCAGAAAAACTGGATTGGAAATGGAGGAGCTGGGACTCGTGATAGGCACTCTGCTATGGGATGAAGGCAGCCAAGCAGTGGCTTAATCACTGTACCAAAGCCTGGCCCCTTACGCATTTATTATAAGTAAAACAAAACATTAAACTGTATGTTAATGTTCCTTAGAAATAAAAATGAATAAAAATGATTTCTTTCTAAGGTACATTAACATACAGTTTAATGTTTTGTTTTACTTATAATGCATTTATTTTAGTTTCTTATTTTTCTGTAAATATTTATTTATTTATTAGAAAGTCAGAATTACAAAGAGACAGAGAGATCTTCCACCTGCTGGTTCTGTCCCCAGATGGCTACAGTAGCTAGCGCTGGGCTTGTCTGGAGCCAGAAGCCAGAAGCTTCATCCGGGTCTCTCAGTGGTGGCAGGGGCCCAAATCTGCTGCTTTTGCCAGGCTGTTAGCAGGGATCTGGATCTGAAGTGAAGCATCCAGCTCCCATATGGGTTGTGGGTGTCACAGGCAGCAGCTCTATCTGCTATGGCACAATGCCAGTCCCTATTTTCTGTTGTTTAACATTAGGTAAATGGAACATTTTAGATCTTCCTATCCCTTTCAAAATATAAATCAGAACACATTGAGGTAGGTTATCTACTGAGCAGATAATGTGCTAAGTGTTTGGCCTAGGGAAATAGAAAAAAGCTTCTTCATTTTGATGTATATCCACAGCATAGAGGGGATAAATAAGGCTGTCATTAAAGTTTCATTCTCAAATAGAATATAAAAAGAAAGCTAAGGTCATTCCTGTAATCCTTGTTCTATTTTAAAATTTTAAAAGCCATATGAGTTAACATCAATGTGAACAGATAATTTTAGTATTATGAAACTGTTCAAAGTTATTAATACCTTTCACATACCAGAGATATAATTATATCTTTAGAATGTATCATGAAAAGACCAGGTGAATATTATTCTTGCCCCCTCATTAAAAACTACATGAACTTATTGGTAAGTCATTTCGCTTTTCTAGGCCCTGATACTAACATCTGCACTTCTGTCCTCACAATATATCTATTAGTGTATATTCAACCACTACACAGTAAGTGCAAAGCACAGTTGAAGAAATTATAATTCCTGCTACCTTCTAAATGCAATTAAATTTAAACATAAAAATAGCTTTTGGTTGCCAAGTTAATAAAAGCAAACCTTGCTTTATATAAAGAATAACTTAATGACTACAAAAATACTGATAATCTCACAACTCATAGGTAACTGGACATTTATCCTCTCACAGATTTTTCCTGGATAATCACACACACACACACACACACACACACACACATTTACATGCATACATCCACCTATACAAGATCAAGTGTATTTACATTACACTTAGTTAGGAACTAGAATCTGTTGAATGAATACAGCCATTCACCAACTGGGGTGGTTCAAGCAAGTAAAACAAAATGTTATTTTGAAAATCAAAGATGAGCAAATGTTCTACTTACATCTTTTTTAAAAAAGAAACTCTAGGTATCTTCTTTTTTTTTTTTTTTTTTTTTTTTTTTTTTTTTGACAGGCAGAGTGGACAGTGAGAGAGAGAGACAAAGAGAAAGGTCTTCCTTTTGCCGTTGGTTCACCCTCCAATGGCCGCCACAGCCAGTGTGCTGCGGCCAGCGCACCGCGCTGATCCGAAGGCAGGAGCCAGGTGCTTATCCTGGTCTCCCATGGGGTGCAGGGCCCAAGCACTTGGGCCATCCTCCACTGCACTCCCGGGCCATAGCAGAGAGCTGGCCTGGAAGAGGGGCAACCGGGACAGAATCCGGCACCCCGACCGGGACTAGAACCCGGTGTGCTGGCGCCGCAAGGTGGAGGATTAGCCTACTGAGCCGCGGCGCGGCACTAGGTATCTTCTGTTATGTGCTATAAACAAATAATAGGTGCATTCTGAGTTATCTTCAAAATGAAGTCATATGGCATGTGTATTGTTTTGTAATCTGCTATTTTTTTGGGGGGGTTTCTATTTTTTAATTTTTTTTTTAACTTTTATTTAATGAATATAAATTTCCAAAGTACAGCTTATGGATTACAATGGCTCCCCCCCCCATAACGTCCCTCCCACCCGCAACCCTCCCCTTTCCCACTCCCTCTCCCCTTCCATTCACATCAAGATTCATTTTCGATTCTCTTTATATACAGAAGATCAGTTTAGCATACATTAAGTGAAGATTTCAACAGTTTGCTCCCACACAGAAACATAAAGTGAAAAATACTGTTTGAGTACTAGTTATAGCATTAAATCTCAATGTACAGCACACTAAGGACAAAGATCCTATATGAGGAGTAAGTGCACAGTGACTCCTGTTGTTAACAAATTAACACTCTTGTTTATGGCATCAGTAATCACCCTAGGCTCTTGTCATGAACTGCCAAGGCTATGGAAGCCCCCTGAGTTCACTGACTCTGATCATATTTAGACAAGGCCATGGTCAAAGTGGAAGTTCTCTCCTCCCTTCAGAGAAAGGTACCTCCTTCTTTGATGGCCCATTCTTTCCACTGGGATCTCATTCTCATTCGCGGAGATCTTTCATTCATTTAGTTTTTTTTTTTTTTTTTTTTTTTTTTTTTTTTTTTTTTTTTTTTGTTCCCCAGAGTGTTTTGGCTTTCCATGCCTGAAATACTCTCATGGGCTTTTCAGCCAGATCCGCATGCCTTAAGTGCTGTTTAGGACATCTGCCACTCTATGGGTCTGCTGTGTATCTCACTTCCCATGTTGGATCATTCTCTCCCTTTTTGATTCTATCAGCTAGTATTTGTAGACACTATTCTTGTTTATTGTGCTTCCTTTGGCTCTTTGTCCTATCATTATGATCAATTGTGAACAGAAATTGATCACTGGGACTAGTGAGATGGCATTGGTACATGCCACCTTGATGGGATTGAATTGGAATCCCCTGGTATGTTTCTAACTCTACCATTTGAGGTAAGTCAGCTTGAGCATGTCCCGAATTGCACAGTAATCTGCTATTTAGCCATGTTTTAAAGTCATCTACTCACCACAATAAAAATAGAGCCTCATGATGTTTTTCGTGGACTAATAGCATTGAAACACAGAAATGTACTGTAATTTATATAAATAACTTCCCTTTTGTTAGACATTTTGGTTGTCTTTTATATAATATTGGATACAAATACACAGATTCTTATATTCTGAAAAGAATTATTTTTAATACTTATTCACCTTAGAATAATGCTGGTGAATTTTGTTGTATTATATGTGTTCTTTTAAAGATTCTAAGCCTTCTATTTAAGAAATTTATCATATAATAGCTTAATATGCAAAGTGGTACAGTGAAAAAGACCTAAAATTTGGAATTAGATATGTTGAACTTGAAATTTTTACCCCAGCATTAAATGTTTTGAGCGAGTTCTTTATCCTCTCTGAATCTGTAAAAATATAGCAACGGCCCTTGTTTTCTAGGATATCAAAAGAATTATCAAAGATACTAATGCATGTAGAAATTTAAAACAATACCAAGCACATACTAGAAGCTCAACAAATGTTATTCCTTGTTATGATTTTTATTGGATTTAAAAGTATCTCAAAGGGATACTGTGTTTCTCTATATTACAACCTAAAACTAATTAAATACTAGCATTGCATTCCAAACCAGGATATTTAATATCATCAGCATACCTTCTCATGAAGATCATTTATCTCTTCAGTACATCCTGGGTAGAAAGCACAGAGTTTTACTAAATGTAGTTCATTATTGGGAGTCATCAGAAGAAGATCAGCTGCCAAATTCCTGCTCACATAAAAAAGGGAAAACTTATCTGGAGAAAAAGCTACTATTTTAAAATATTTCATGGGCAAGAAACTCATACATATAATTTGTTTTTCTATTTACACAAGTAGTACTAACTTCCTACCTAATTATGAAATTAGTTTTAATTTAAACAATAGATAACAAAGGGTGTGAAAGAGAAACATCTTATAAAATTGCTAAATAATTTTAAAGTTTTAGCTCACATATAATTCTTTGTATAATAGATTTTATTATTACAAATTAATTCCCTAGGCAAGCTAAGTAGTTTGAACTAAGTTCTTTGGAGAAAATTATAAAAGAAACTTTGTGAAGCCTAATTTTATCAACTTTTGTTATACTTATTAACAGTGGAAAATTGGTTTAGCCAGATCATTGAAACTAGTAGAATACTTAACTATTTTAACTTTAGAATTTTAGGTATCCTGCACATTTTTCTAAAGTTTAGGTGAAAAAAATCAAAGAGAGAAGTATAGTTTTCTTACTTATTTTCAACAGATTCAGACAGTGGAATATAAAATTTAAGATTTTTTTTAAAATATAAGAATACGGACTTAGCAGTTTCACATTAAAACATTATATATATACATATATATATATATTTAAAATTATTGGTTGAGGAGTTTTTGGCTGCATGCATCATAACTGAGAAACCACATTATTTTCAATTATTCATGATATTATTTGGTTTTTAATAAGTTGAAATATAGATATTCATTCAGTATGATGTTAGAACAGATGCTATTTCAAGATTTTATAAAATTGTGTGTCAAGGGCTCTGAAAGTAAAATCTTCTTTATTCTTTGTGAAAACTTCAGCAAAATTTCAATTGGTCATTCATTTATGTTAACCAATTGTTTCTGAAAACATAAAAGGTAAAAACAAAAAACGTAAGAGGTGCCCAATCAAATATATGGTGAGCCTAAAGTGGACATAGAGGTAATTTTCAACATCTGGTGTCAAATCAAAAATTTTATTTAAAAAAATACAGACACATCACAAACGGGATAATTAGCACTGAAGTAAGCTTATTTTAAGGCTTTGACAATAAAAACACTTTAATGAGGTTTCATAAAATTTTTCCTATTTTCATAACATTTTACTAATAACTAATATTCAGGATGATGTCAATAGAGAATCACCAAGAGTTCAATGAATCATTATAATATTTTCTCAAGTTATCTAACATTAAATATAATGTCCAACCTGCCATATTTTCTATTATCATTGAACAAGTAAATATTTAAGTATTTTTCCATATTTCAAATTATAATAGTTTATATGTTGTTACTGAAAAGTATGAATGACTTTATCTGTTTTGTGATAGGAAATTTAGTAGGAATTTTAAATAATGTCCATGAGAATACAGATTTATCCTTTTCTTTCAGCATATATAAAATAGCAATGCTAAAATTCTGTTCAAATTTCTATGAACTGCAGACAAACTACAACTGTCTTACTATAGAATTATATTGGCATGTAGTGAAAATTATAACAGAACAGTTAATTTATTCATTCTCTAATTCACCATCATAAGAATTTGATACACCAATAAAGTTAATAAATATATGTATATGTATATAAATATAAAATACATACAAATAAAATTATCTGAACTATTACATTTCACCATAGGGTCAGGTATTTTATTTTGCTTAGTTGAGTTGGCTATGGTACAGTATTGTAGAGATCCATAGTTCATTTGTTGTATAAATATTAAGTATAAAATCTTGAATGATATTGTACATAGTTCATATTACTCTATAGTTAGTCTTTCTGTGGTTTCAGTTATATAATTATCTCTCTATATATGTATACACATGCACATATGGTCTGGCATATTGTAAAACAAACTGAAAATATTTAATGAACATTTTTTACTATAGAGGTAGTATTCAAAATGAATAAAATAGTACATGGATTGTAATAAACATGCTTTCAAATAAAAATAGATAATACCTGTATCCAACAGACGGAAAGCTAAAAAGAAAATACTCAGTATTAATATCATGAAAATACAATGAATACCAAGAAGCAACAAATTTACCCAATAAACATTAAAATTGAATTGTGTTTAGTTTATAGAATTATGAACACTCTCTTTAAATTAATCAAGTTTTTTTAATCTGTAAAATTCTACTATTAGCTGTGAGGATTCTAGATTTCTTTGAGAAATTAACCACTATATTTAAAATTAATATTTTAAATTAAGCACTGTATTTCTCAGAACTTGAGCTTTATCTTAACTTCTACTACACACATCGATGGTCACAGAAATTAAGAATTCTTGCAGAGGAGTGGTTATAGGTAAAGAGAAGTTTGGATTTTATTAAAAGTGATGATACATAGTCCATCAGGTGATATTTAAACTTTTAAAAAAGCTTATTTTATATTTGTTATGTTTTATTTTTACTTTGTTAAAACTAAACCCATTTGATTTAGATGAGATGATGATTTAGCATAGAGTCAGCCACCTTTGTGAATAAATAAGTTGAGTTATATTTCATACTTTGGGATGAGTCTAAGGCAAATCATTTTAACTATGTAACTGGCTACATAGTTCTCAACAGAAGGTCAGTGGTGTTATGAGAAGATGGTAAGGTACAAACACATTTTGGTGGGGTATGGAAGTATTTAGGGAAAAAGGATACAATTCTAAAATCGTCTTAATTCAACAAACTTCTCTGGAAGATAGAACCACATAATTCCTAAAGGTGACTCCAATGTGATTGGATTGTCTGACCTAAGACTGTGGCTCTGAAGATGTGAGCTACAATTGCTTGGATGTGGAATTCCCAGGATCTAATTCTTAGTATACAGCCACAGTTTTGGAAGATGGTCCATTTCACGTCTTCAGCAAAACAATTTTTGATATTGTTTTCTCTTAGAAAAGCAACTTTATTTTATAAAGTTTCAACTAGGACACATGATCTGGAAGGAATACCTGATGATATAAAGAATTTTTAAGATGTGGAATTTGTTGTTCTGATGATCTTAAGAATCACACAGCTGGGGCCGGCGCTGTGGCATAGTGGGTGGGGCCGCCCCTGCAGTGCCGGCATCCCATATGGGTGCCAGTTCGAGCCCTGGCTGCTCCACTTCCAATCCAGCTCTCTGCTGTGGCCTGAGAGAGCAGTGGAGGATGGCCCAAGTCCTTGGGGCTTTGTGCCTGCGTGGGAGACCTGGATGAGGCTCCTGGCTCCTGGCTTTGGATTGGTATAGCTCCGGTCATTGCGGGCAATTGGGGAGCGAACCAGCGGATGGAGGACCTTTCTCTCTCTCTCTCTCTCTCTCTCTCTCTCTCTCTCTCTCTTTCTCTCTCTGCCTCTCCTTCTCTCTCTGTATAACTCTGACTTTCAAATAAATAAATAAATCTTTAAAAAAGTGAATCACATATTTGTTGGTCATGATATTGTAGGTGGTTTGAAACATCAAACTAAGATATAAGATCCTTCAGAATGGGATATGGCGGATTTCATTATATAAACATGGTAGTTTTCATCAGTAATTCCTTCCTGTATTGCCA